TGCAATCACAAATCTAGAAAATCCGATGGATTCATCGAATTATGCGTTTCCCGCCAAACAATAATATATTCGTATAATCTTCATCCTAGTAGAATACAAACTTTGAAGCTACACTTGTATAATTATTTTAGGATAAATTCTTTTTGGTTCAGGACTTTCGATATTCGAGCGTATCACATGAAATCCGCATTGATCAATTTCTGAAAAAAAGAAAAAATATCGCCGTACACATCTAATTGTAAGTTAGGAACTCAAGATTTTCAATTGGAGCGACTGTTCGAATAAAGGTCCGCAATGATCGAGATAAACAGACTCATTGCGAAACAAACGACACAGGATACGAAGTTCACGTAAATCAAATTATATAAACTGCTGGAAGTTTCGCTGTATAGAAAGCAAATTTTCCTCTAAAGTACATTACACCGTTATCGGGTGAAAATGAATCAATTGCGTAAGTCTGGACGGCTACCATTAATCCAACGAAATACGGACTTTCGATTTACCATGGGATATATGTAGTTAATAGGAAGGAAATGTGTTAGATTTTGAACTTTCTTCGAAAAGTTTAGCAGTGAACGATACGACTTGAGTCTTGATAGTGACTTCGTGACGCGCTAAGAACGGGAAAGTTTACAACTACAAGGTGTTGGTTCCATTGTAATTTACGACAATAACTTTGCGCTCTTAACTCGAGACCTAAATTTCGTAATAACTTGCCTTGGAACATCGTAATAAACTGTCCATCCAACTTAGTCTTCTGCGATCGTCTCGAGCCGCGAATATTCTTGAATTGTTTTATCCATGGAAGAACAAGTTTGAAAATTCATTTTACGATAAAGTGTTCCGGTGCTACGAAAGGAACAAAAGCAATGCAACTGCTCTGCTCTGAAATGAGGCAGTAAATTGCTATTTCACAAGGTAATAACGCATTTAATAATCGAATCTGCCAACGACACGCTATACGGAAACTTAACGAGCCGCGAGTTTCTCCGAACGCTTGTCGTTGATCCTAAATAATGTACGAATGTCGAAGTATTAGTTTTAAAAGAATGCTCGTTCAATATCAAAAGGCGAACGTTACGTCATCGTGAGTGTAATTGATTATCGCGCGACACTACTGTAGATTTTCCCGTGATGGGGAAACTCGAACGTTGCTTGCTTCCCGATTGTTTCTACTCACTCTTGGCAGCCCATAGCTTTCCATCCTTGAGAGACTTCAGAAAGAATTCCAGCTCCTTCCTGCAATCGTTCTCGAGTTTACCAGGTATTCTGGACCACTTGAGGGGATCGTAAAGATCTGTCAGCCACTGGATACTATTCGCTGTCCTCTCGAGCTTCTCCTTCATGAAATCGATATCGAGATCTTGATGCTCCGCTTTTTTCTCGTCGAACAGCTTCAAGTATTTCTTCCAATCAAGTTCTGGATTGTTTTTGCTGAATCCAATTAACGAACTCTGTCTATGCTTTCCCACTTCAAAATCATTGCTATTCAAATTTGCCGTCTTGGCTGTTACCAACGACACATTTCGAGTTCTTCCGATCCGCAGGATGTTAGATTCGTTTTTCGAAAGTGGAGTTGCGTGTACCATGCAACATAGCATCAATAAGAAATAACCAAAGAAAAGAATCATTTTTGAATGATTTTTTTCGGGATTGTCCAATTATTTTCGTATTTTTTATCTCGTATTTTTCAATATGGCCCGATGTTTAATATCTTTTTCAATTTCTAAGTACCTCATTGATTTCTTTCGACGAAATTCCCAGACGTCATATTAAATTATTATAATGACTGAACTTGCCCCGGTGGGCAATTTTCGTTTCCGAATCGTTCAGCTATTTAGATCCTCGAGCATGCTTAAGGACGCAGAAGCTTGATCGTGACAGGAATGTAGCCACGATATTTCAGTTTACGATCGTATAAACGATACGAACGACTCACTTTCGTTTCTCACTAACCACTGGTTTGGTTTTATTTCCAAACGTCGATTACTGCTTGTTATAACAACAGTTGACAGTAATTCAGATAAGATTATCAGGTAAATCATAGAAATCGAATTTGAATCATCTGTTTACTTCAACACACTGCATATGAGTCAAAAGATCGAATCTTAAGGGAGAAACAGACGCACACACGAGACTAAGGATCACGCACTGAATGAAGCGAATCGAGTCAGCAGTCACGTTTACCCGTGGACGTCGGTCCTCCTTTCTCTCCACGATATACTTTACCATAGTAAATACATTTCCTTCTTCGGTCCCCCGAACACAGTCGTCATTCAACACATGTTTCCTTCTAAAGAGCTTTTCGATAAATTCTTACATCAAAATTTTCTCTGTATTTAGAAAGTCCTTCTTGAGAGAATGATTCTTCGTCCGATTTGCCCAGATTTGCGATGATACTTTTAAATGCCAGAAATCATTAAAGTTATTGTTATCCTTTAAAAAATTACATTTACTAATTGCATAAACTATGAGCACTGCTCCGTGTAATCATCAGAGAAAGAGATTAGAGGAGAAAAATAATTTTTCTTGAATCTGCATGAAAATTCACTGCCATAATTTTTAGAGCGTTCGACCACAAATCGTTTTTCGTTCGTCAATAATGTTTAGAAAAAGCGATAGATATTATGTCAGTTACTTTCGTTATGGTCTCTAAAGTGGTTTGTTATTGTTATTTCAATGAACTGTAGTGCTTATCATTTGAATTCCAATTGTCATTCTTTCGTTCGATCGCTTATTACTTACACAGATGACCACTTATTACTTTACACAGACGACGAGTATCTTAAGATTAGAAATTTCTATGGTATAAAAAAGTTAATGGCTCGTAAATTTCCTTTGCATGTGTACGGTAAATCGCATTGTTGGAGTATAGTAAAAATGATGAAGCATTTTTTCTTATTTTCTATGTGTAACTTGCCATAAACAAAACCACATTTGCGACCTTATATGCGAGAACAGCGTGTGCTTTATGCTGGCTACGAGAAAATAGGAAACGGATATTTTTACCGGAAAAAACACAAGGAAAAACGAAAATGTTTTTCGTGACAACAGTTTTTCTTCGACTAGTAGCGTTTCTTCCTTTCACAGAATATTCAGTGTAAAAGCACGCGGAGATATTTTATAGGCGTTTCACTGAACAAACAATGTGTTACCGTTGACACGAATTTTTGTAAAAACTTCGCAGCGTTTGAGATAAAAGCAAATTATACACGACCTGTTTTGTTTTGATGTTTCCACGAAGCGTTTGAATTAAGTTCTTTAACTTCTGCTTTTGAAAGAGAAGCGCCTAAACGAACTACACATTCCTGATGTTCAGATTTTCTTCGCGAAATTGCATCTTCCAATTCTGTTCAATCTCCAAGACACGGCAAAAAAGGTTTTGATAAAATATTATCCCGCGGCAACGGAAAGTAGGCGTACTCGTCGCTCAGCTTCTCAAAATAAGATTTAACGAGATTTTAAAGGAACTTCCGCTAAAAATAAAGCTACTTCTTCGTTTGTTCGAAAGATTCTCATCAAGCAACTTGTCAAGTGTCTCGCCATTGTCAACTCCGTAAATAGGAAATCATTTTATTTATATCTGTTAAGAGTCGTTAGATCATCGAGGGCACGGCTGTGACATATTTTCATTTGTATTTGATATTTATGTAATGCGGGCGCCTGTAAAACCGTCGCGAGGGACTTTCGATCGCGGCTCTCACTCGTGAGCTCAATTTTTGTTCGCATTACGGAGCTTCGAAAGTTTCTCCAAATTTCTCAGTCTCTCTCGGTCTCTCTTTTGACGATTTCCCGGTCTGATCAAGGTTCGGTTAGTTTTACAGCACGGAAACTGCTTCTCGAAGAGATCCGGTTATCTGTTACGCAATCGAGCTTTCTACGCGCTTCGTAACGACTCGCAACAACCGAATCCCCTCTTAGGGAGCGGGAGTTCGATCTCGAAGGCGTCGTTTCAGTAGGTTCGAACCAGTAAGAAGCAATTTTACCAACAATTCGAAATAATGTTTTTGCTAGATCGAGACAATTCTACGAGAGTTGCAATTACTACTACTTTACAATTACAATTACAATTATTACTTTATTTTCTTAAATATATTCAATCACTGATCATCTGATCATGGAGAGCTTTGGAAAATTGGTTTTCCATCAATTGAAATTCAAATACGAATATTTAGTGATGTACAAAAATTCAGGAAAAGTTATAAAAAAATTGAAAATAGGTTTGTGTATGAGGATCAAAACGAATAGTGTGCATAATATGAAATATGAATTCATTTAAATGAATAAATAAATGAAACATATTTTCCTATTGAACTTTTCTATTTAGGTGAAAACGATATTTGACGGTTATCTGAATCGTAATCTAGAATCAATAAAGCTTAAAAATAAGCATGAAAAATATGGTAAAGAATATTTCATTGAAAAATTTCAAGCTGCGTACAAAATATTCCTTTGATAAACATTGAACGTACTTCGAATATGTAAAATTGTTCAAAAGTAGAAAAAGAATATCGTACACAAGATTCATTTTAAAAAGGTAAATATCAAAAAAGTATAAAAAGACTGGTTAGAAGAATACATGTGAAACACGTATGAATATAGTTATATTTGCAATTGTTATGTATACGGAAGTGAAAGGCCAAGTGTTGGTAGAAAAATTTTCCATTGCGATTTTCAAATGTATGTTTTCACATTACTTAAGTTTCTCATCTCTAACAGATGACACAACGAAATGTTTAACTGGTAGCGGGAACTACATTTCCTGCAGATGGAACTACATTTCCTGCATTGTCTTTCATTCTGAAATATCGACGATATGAAAAATTAGAAATATTTATATATCTCGTCTGTGTTAGAAGCTTTTGTATGTCTTCTATAATTTAAAGAGTTTGGAAATTCTCTAGAAATACGAATTTAAAAATTATATTCGATCTAATCAATCGATATCGATAAATTTAAATTTAAACGCAACTTCTTCCATTATATTTTCATAGAGATACTTGTATTACAACAATCTATTATTGCAAAAACAAAATGCTGAAATTTTGAAAATTCGAATCATTCAAATTTTCAAATTCAAATTTAGTTTGAATTCTAACCACTAATAATCTTATTCTTTGCTCCATCGGTACATTTAATCTACAATTCACAAACTAAATCACAGATGAGGTCAAAGACAAAGTATATGAAAAGACATTGCATCTAATGTACTTTTTCGGGCACGATTTTCATCATGACCACATTATCATTTTTGTGTCACATCCTGTCGTACCGATTCAGGCAAGTTTTTCACCGCAGCACTACTAGTAGTGAGAATTAAAATCAAAAAATATGAACAGTGTTGCCAGTGTTCCGAAGATTATTCATTAAATTAAATGTGTTTCATCAATGAAAGAATATAACGATTTAAAACAGAAATTGATGAAAATTGGGATAAAAGATTTTGTATATATTTGACTATTAACATCTAGTTAAAAGTATTAGAAAAAACTGATTGAAATATGATATTTTTATGAATAATTAGATACGTTTTAATTTACAAATTTGTGAATTCGCAACCTGAATGAATTATTTTTATCCCATAAACTCGATTTTATGGAAGTTTGAACTCATCAATAAAATATTTCTATAAATATTGTTTGTAAAAAAGAATTTGCAATAAAGAAACACGTTATATGTTGTAAATTATTTTTTACAAAATTCATCCGTCCGAAATTTCGAAGTCAAATTTATACCATATATATTTTCTTTTTTATAGTACGATGTTATTTATTAAAATGAACTCACTGAATTGATTTTCGACGACCGAAATCATTTATTTATATGTTATAAATTGTTAATAAAAACGATATAAAGTATGAGTGACTTAATGATATATATATATATATATATATATATATATATATATATATAT